TGGTAAAAAACAGAATGCTCAAAATCTTCTTAGGTGAGGGATGTGGCCCATAGGCCTCTTGTTGTTATCATTATATTTTTTTAAATATTCTTAGGGCCAAAAAGGGCCCAACGTGACTTGTGATCTTTGTCTGCTATTTACCCACAAATCGTTATATGCAGAATAATATGGTACTTATTGTTGTCACAGATTCTTTAGCAGACATATTTCACGTTATAAATGTACAAAAATTGCATAAAGATCATTATTTCAGTTGCAGTTTAGATATATTTGAATTTAATTTTATACACATTTTACATTCTTCATAGGTGTTCCTTTTTAAGGACAAAGGTCTTAAAATCATATGTTAGCTTTGAAAACTTTATCATGTTTTAAACAATTAAGTTGATTTAAAGTTTACATACATGTACCTCATATAACATACCTATCGCTACATATATGATTCAAATATTTGGATATAAGAATAGACAAAGAAGTAATCTAACAATCATAGTTTTTGATAAACGTGATGGCTTTAACTTTTTTTCATTTACTTCTCTTATAAGATAAATAGAAGAAAATTGCCTTTTTATACTTTTAACGGATTAGGAAACATGTTTGTCATGCGTGAGGGATTTATATATACACACTACTCGTAATGTGTGCTGTGTTCATTGGAGGGTGAATTTTCACAGCTTGAAGCAAAGTTCGCGAACAAATTGAATTACTTTCATTAAACAAACAAAATTAGGTTGCAGTGTTCATTATTCTTTAAAGTAGCCCTCCTCTGACTTAAATGCAAATTTTCCTCCGTTCTGCACATGCGCGAATCAGTCTGTCACGTGCACATGCTCTGAAGCATTCTGTTCATAGACGCAAAAATATTTTCTCGTGTCTTTTATTTCTCTTACCATGCAAGTAATTTTTTATATCATACGAGGGTTGTCCGTAAAGTTCGTGGACAACCTTGATAATAACTGACAAACAATGATGAAATATCTGAAACTATTATTTTCATTTAATTCATGTTTCATTTCATTGATATGCAAGTTTTCATCACATATAACGCATAAATAAGTATATTTTAATCAGATACAAAAAATATACACTCTTATACGCGGAACACTAAAATTAAAATCCATGCATGACGTTACCCAACGTCAAAAGCGAAACACATTTAATTTTTCTCAACGTAGTCACCATTTAACTCAACACATCTCTTATGTCGCTTTAACCAGTCATCAAAAATATTCACAAACTGTTCTGGTTTCATACGGGAAATAATATTAAGCACTTCCTGTCTCAGCTCCTGCAAATCCTCAAACCTCTGTCCGCGTAAAAACGACTTAATGTACGGAAATACGGCAAAGTCCATAGGGGCTAAATCCGGGTGTGGGGAGGGTGCGGAAGCACTCAAAACCAAGTAAATAGATCTCTAATTGAGTTGTCGAGAGATATGTGCTGGAGCATTATCTTGGTGAAGTATCACTTGATCTAGGTTGGCTGCTAGATATGGGCGTTTCTTTCTAAGTGCGTGTACCAAATCTCTCCGCAGGACCTAACAAGACAACAAATAACTAACAATTCCGTACCAGCAATTCAAATAGCATTATTTCTAGAAAGTGAAATGATATAAAGAGAATGAAAATCTTAAAAATGAAATATACTAAATATTTAAAAAAAAATATAAAATGTTGATATCGATTTAAATAAAAAGAAACACCCTAGTATTGATTATTATGTATCATGTATTTTGTTTTGAAATTAATGATTTAGTTTAATTACCTTACAATAGTAATCAGAATTTACAGTCTGGCGATGTGGTACAGCGTGTGTTAGAATCATCCCCCTCCGATCCATCAAAGAATGAACATATTCTTTCGAAGGGATTTTGTAACTTTGGCTTTTTTCGGCGGAGGAGAGTTCGTATTTTTCCATTGACTGGACTGTTGCTTTGTTTCAGGGTCATAGTAGTGGAAACAGCTCTCGTCGGTTGTAATAATTCTGTCCAAAAAACTTGTGCCGCCTAAGTTAATTTTTTTTTTATAAAAAGTCTTGACAATTCTACTCTCCTCGCCAAATTTTCAGTTGTCAGAATTCTCGGCACCCATCGAGCACAAACACGACTCATATTCAGATCACCAGATAAAATTTCATGTACCGTAGTCTTTGAAATCCCACACTTTCCTGCAATTTCCCGAACCGTAAGTCGCCGATCACTGTCAATCACGTCACGAACTTCCTCTTTTACTGCATTACAATCTCGGAAAGATGGTCTTCCTTCACGTGTGTCATCATGTAAGCTGTCCCTTCCATCCGAAAATCTTTTATGCCACTTGAACACTAAAGAACGGCTCACTTTACAATGTTTTCCAGACTGTTTAAGGAATTTATGGGTCTCTGTTGGCGTTTTCCCGATATCGACACAAAATTTAAGCACGGCTCTTTGCTCCACCCTTTCTGGAAACGTCCCTTTTTCGCAGATAGACGATCCTGATTCGAATCTCGATTTTTCCGCCATTTCGTAACTTTTCACATTCAAATTTTGTAGATTTGACGCAAAAACTCTAGTTAACGTCATAATGCTAAATTCATCCATATTTTCGCGGAATTTTATAAAATGCAAATGAAATATTTAAAGTGATTAAAAATTTTTTAATAAAAATTATGCGGTGCTCACACAGTCACCATTCGAAGTCTTATAATGAGGTCATAACTGTTAATATATATTTAAAATTAATTTTTTTTTTTTATATACATTTTTTTATTAACATATAGTAAAGGATAATAAATATGCTAATAATAAATATGTATGACACAACATTTATTTAAATATTAGCTTGTCCATGAACTTTACGGACAGCCCTGGTATTTGATACATTTATGAAAATATTTTCCTAAAGAAGCGAACAGAAATCTTTGAGGAGGATGAAATTATAAATATTAGAAATGGACGTACCTTTTTCTTTAATTGTTATTAATAGTAACACTCACAATCCAATAATGGTTACTGTCGACTTAAATTTGCATTGGCGACTACATTTTTGATAAGGCGTCAGCTGGTGCCTACATTTATGAGGTTACTTATATATAGCTGCAACCAAACATTTTCAGGGCACTACCACAAAAGGAAATCCTTGGCCAGTGAAAGAAAAGATTGTTTAAAAAAATATAAAGACAGTGTCCTGTTGTAAAACAAGAATAAACTTATTCGGTTACAAAAAAGGTGTAAAGATATTCAACATGTGCATAACGCTGATTCATTGAGATGTCAGAGCATCCTTGAAATGTCCCTGCGCAAAAACAAACAATTAAACAAAGGGAGGCAGAAAATCCTATTTCATTGGAGGATGGATCAAATTTCTCCTGATACATTATAATTTTCATGTTACCAAATTTGGCTGATGTGATTAGAATTTACTCATCGACGTTGCATTCATTTACGCAGGGGTAACGACCAAAACCTGTTCAGCTATTTGGCATTGCATATATATCAATTAGTAAAAACAAAACATTCAAAATTAAATCAACATGAGATTCAATTACAAAAACAGCCAGAAATGGTTATCAAATTAATCTTCTTTAGAGATATTGTGAGAGGTGATAACAATGAAATACTTGTTCGAAATCTGTATTCTGCAAAATACACATGTATTAAACCTGTATTAAGAAACATGTATTGCAGCTTTTATATATTTTATAAACAGGGTTCTCCATGAGCTCTTTTATTGTGTTGCATCCTACACAGTAAAATTTTCTCCGACACAGTAACGATTCAAATTTTATGCATGTGACACAGTAAGATCGGTGAAAATTTAAAAAAATCTAAACATACTAATTCTCTCTGATTGAAATTGTAATCAAACATTTCTACCGTCATTCTAAAAGTTAAATTTCCAAAACGAGAAGTTGTAGAGACATGGGACTAACTACAAAAGATTAATTGATCTTTGATCAATAAATTTATGCAAAGGTCAAAGATCAAGGTCATTCCATAAAAAAGGAGAGAAATTCAACTGTTTTATACCTCTTTTGTCTTTCAACTTATATATTCTGTCTTTGCATCATTAATATGACTCTTAAAACTATTTCAATAGTTTCATTCATGTGACTCTATTAAAATTCATTGCCCCTTGTGCGAAAAACCTTGTTATTGCTACTTCTCCAAAACCGTAAACAGTAGAAGTATGAAAACTTTACCAATGTCTTTTACTAATTGAGGGGACTCTCCAATCTATTCATTTCGAAAGTATTCGTTGAAACCTTCAATCAGTTATTGTCCCTGAAAGTTTTTGAAGTTTATGAACAATTAATTTTCAAAACGAAAAGTGTAGAGACATGGGAATAACTGTATAAGATTCATTGGCCTTTGACCTTAAAATTTATGCAAAGGTCAAAGGTCAAATCATTCAAAAAATAAGAAATTAAGCTTGTTTTATCTCTTTTGTCTTTCAAAGTATACTATTTGTCTTTTAATCCTTCATATGTACTCTTTTAAAAAGTATTTCAAATTTATCATTCTTGTCCCCTTAGATTGACCCTTTTAAAAGTCACCGCCCTTTAAACGAGAAACCTTGTTATCACTACTCCTTCGAAACCGTAAACCATAAGCCATAGAGACACGAAACCTTCACTAATGTCTTAAGAGCCTTTAGGCACACTTTCATATTGTATGTGTAAAAGGATCTGTAGACACCTAATATGACTTATTACCCTTCAACTTCTTTATGCTAAATATAAAACTTTATAACGTTAGAACTAAAAGTCGTAGAGGCACGGGTAAATTCTTATTTGACCCTTCACCTTTGACCTTGAAAATCTATAAAAGGTTAAAGGGTCATATCAAAATTTTAAAATTGTTCAATATTACTATCCTTTAAGCCACTTATGCTTTCTTTTTCATGGTATTTAAGGAGTTTGATATAAAACAAAATTGAAATTCAGAGAAGGTGGAACGACCTCTTATTTGTCTGTGAACAATAAATCTTCTAGTTTTATTTGCTTCTTTCATAAATTAATTTAGTACACCTTTACGATGCATTTCCTATAAAAATCCAAAATATAACATAAAATTCACTTTAAAAACAATTATACCCGTTATATCATGACATCCTCTCTTCTATAAAATCCTCTCTTTTTTAAGAATAGAATAAATATGACACTTTTTTTTTTCTTTCTTTCATTTACCTTTTCTGAATTATTTTGCTAGTTAAAATGTCCATAGTAATGTATTGTATTTTCACGGTAATGACTACGACAAGAAGCAGCTTTGAGGTATCTTGTGGGGATTTTATCGACTGAAATCTCTATGAAATTGAAAAATTAGATAATGCAACTGTGAATGCCATGACTGATCCCGGATTTGGTGACGTTCTTTCGTAAGATGTTGGTGTTCCTCTAATCAGGTGCAAAATACCAACATGTCATTTATATACTGAGATTATGTCTACAAACTGATTAAAAATACGCATGATGTACATGCCAACAATTTCTAAAACGAGGCAAGAAATTGACATGTTTTTGAGTAATATTCATTAAAAGTATTAGTATTTTGGTCCCTCAAAAGTGTTTAAAATTTAAAGATCTTAACTCCATACTCTACTATAAAACCTATACAAATTGAATTTAAACTGTGAAGTATATGTAGTAAGTTTACTGGATTCTCGTATGTTCATAATACGATTGCTTATCATTCCTATAAAAGTATACGTAACACTAAATAACAGGAATTTGTTTAAAAAGAAAAGTAGTTATTCAAAATATAAAACAATGAATAACATACCTATGAAACACAGTTGATCTATTGTGAACGTAACAGTCCAAAATATGCCTTATAACAGTGTTTTTAAAGCGCAATAAATCAGTGCATATTTAACCCTTAATCAATATCAATGTATTGCAAAGGTTTTTATTTTTGACGAACCATGCTTCATCAATCCTGAATAGAGATTTAATTACTATTCAAGACGCTCGAATTCTATGTCACAACACACTGTTATAACAGTGTTTCTGTTTATCTACTTAATTTAGAGAACCTTAATATTTTCAACAAGTCATGTGCACCTAAGAACAAGACTTTTTACATTCAGAATATTGTTTACTGTAAGAGAAAGCTTCCTGATGAGTTTCTTATACCTTCTTATATTATAATAGAGCTAGGTTCACTTGATGCATGGCTCATCAATCTTGAATAGAAAGGTCTTATAACTACTGAAGACGCTTGAATTACATGGTAAACACAGCGTTACTGTTTATCTCCACTAAATTTAGAAAGGCTTTACACATGTTACATTTCAAACAGTTAATGTGCAACTTGAAACCAGTTTACAACTCATTACATTCACAATTTTTTTATTGAAGTGTCTGAACTCTGTCTCTGCTTATTAAAGGTGCTAGCTATTTAATGAAAGCCTCATACAAAGAATAACAGTATTTATCCTTTTCAAAATTTGTAAAGCAGATGTTCGTGGAGCACTTTGAAGAAATTTACATAGCTACAAAGTTATTGGTTGACGATGTTACATTAATCGCATTATTTTATTTGTGATTTAAAGAAATGTTGATTTAATATAAACAAGTGGTTATTCATTATATTCATACGTGGTATTCCTTTCTAAGGAGAAACAACTTTAACATCATTTGTCAGTTTTTAATACTTTTAATATTCGAAACAATCAAACTGAATTAAAGTTTACATACCTCTACCTCATATTTCATACCTTTTACAATATATATATTTCACATATTTGGATATTATAATAGACAACGACGTTCAAGGTAACCTTACAACCATACTTTATGAAAAACCTGTTGACTTCCACTTTTTAGTTGTTAACCTCTTTTATTATGCGATGTTCCAATATATCACCTGTATATTGAGGTTTTCGCCTCTACGTTGATTAAATACGAATGCTGTACATGCGACCAATTTCTAAAACAAGGCAAGTAATTGAAAAATAAAAAATTCTTCAAAGTTCATCATTAATATTAATCATATTACATAGGGAAAACAAGTGAATCTTAAAAATAGTTTCTGCAAATGCGTATTAAAAATACCTTCCATGTATTTTCTGATTGAAAATTGATCAAAAATATAATTAACTTTAATCATTTTATAATACATGGTGTATTAAAGGTTAACTGTCACTGCAAGACACCGTAAACCATTTCTAATTTTATAATATGCCAATGAGCACTGGTATCTAAGGTAGGATTAAAGGAACAGTTTTTTTTATCAAAAGTGTAATTTGATAAATAATACTTATATGAAGTAAAAATAGCAACTTTTTATCAGTCCATTTCTAAGACTTCAAAGAACCTTAAATCACACCGGGATGCATGAAATGAAAACTGTTGCATGGAAAGGTTTCAATTTCAAATTTAATTTTGATATTTTTAATAAAACAATAGATAATTTAAGAATTATCCTTCCTGGCTGAGGATAGGAATACCTTAACTGACATTATTCATACAAAATAGCTGGGCGATTACGAATATTTTTCCCTATTTTTCCGATCATTA